GTAGTACTTAAATTTGCATGAAACCTTGCTTCTCTCTGTAAATCCCGCCTAGCTCACAAACTCCACCCCTCGACAGCTGCGAACCACCTAACACCTGCCTCACTCTCCATCTTTTTCTCCTTCTATACTTTCAATGTTGAACTTCTTGCTAACCTTGGAGTCCTCATTTCCCCAGAAGTTATCGTCGTTTAGATTTAAGAAACCACGTTTGCTCATCTGAAAGACAGATGCAGTGTACACTCCATTAAGACAGTACAACCTCTCACCTTCTTTAGAAGCGGCTGAACATGAAGAATTCAAAATAGAAAGTGGTCCTCACCCCAGCAGAATGAGCGATGTAGGTGATATCACGCCATGATACCGTGTTATCTACGCCTTTCTTGATAACATCTCATAGTTGAAACTGCTTTTACTTGTTGCATTACTCGCATAGCACGTTTCTAAACATGCTTGCCTTGCCTTTGTCCTGTCGCTTTACAGGTCCCAAACCTAACGTTGTTCCCAACTGCTGTTTCTAAATAAAGCATCCGTTAACGGTTCAGCAGATTTTCAAGCGATGCTGTTCGTTCGAGGCCGAAGCGATAAAAGATTCAGAACGAAGAAAGTTCATAGATTTATTGATAAATAAATGCTTACAAACAAAGTGGACTAGCAGCATTGTCATACAATACATATAGAATGACAGGAATCACTCCGTTCTTAAAATATAATCTGTAAAGTATGTGCACCGGGAATAATTCAACGAATCCAGGGCGCTGTATTAGTGTTATTCGTGTTAGGACCAGTTGTTTCAAACAGTGTTTCGGCGTGTCAAGTCAACTGTGTAGTGGTGGTGGTGAAATGAAGTGAAAATGGTACGTCTGGTCATCCACAAAATGGCTGTTGATGCAGGAAGGGAACTGATACGGAAAAGTGAAAGCCGCGACTGAAAGTAGGAACCCATGAAGCTAGCTGGGGCTCCTGGGCCACATCACTGGCGTTTGCGCTAGGGCTACGGCCAAATCGCACGCAACACCCAATTTTGATGTACTGCAAACTCTGCTGATGATAGCAAGTAAATTGAGAGACTATAAAACAATTTGATTAGATGAAAAATTACAAATTCCAAACGTCTGATATAAGTTACTACAACAAATTGAAATGAAGTAACGAGTCTTGGAAATCTAACAATCTGAACATAACCGTACATATGAGCCTAATTAGGCACGTAGTCCTTGCTTCAAATGCTCGTATTCGCGTAGCATCACTTCTGCCTCGAACAGGAGAGATTCCAACTGCTGGTGAGCTGCCCGTTCTGATTCTTCTACTTCTTCAAACGGAGTTAGTATTTTTGGAACCTGAAGAAGCGGCGGAACTGATATGAGTTCATAGTTCGCAACAGAAGCGATTTACTCGCAAGGTCGCGCAACTACAATTGGCGGCGATCTACGGCTAATCTCTGAACCGCTAGATTCTGGTTGAATCACTTTTGCCATGAGTTTTGTATTCTTTCTCCTCCACGAGACTTCATGTCTGAACTGTTAACCTTGGCTCTAACGTAACTGAGAGGACCGCTTGCTGCGCTTCTGTATCCCTTCCCTAAAAAGGCTAAGGTTTAGAACGCAAACCTCCAGAGTCGCCGATAATCCCGCAGAGAATATTCAGGGGTGCCGAGACGTTGGGAACTGGTCCCCCAATCCCTTCCTCCCCCCTCCCCCTCCTCCCAGGTACGTTAGTTGTTCAACACTCACCTAATTCTAAACAAACAGGCGAAGAGTGCTTGTTTTGAATATGATTGAATAAACAATGGCAGCGTGGCGTAAAGGCCGCACTGGGGCATCTCGAGCAATGTCGCGCGAGTCGCGAAGTATGAAAGCAGCC